TGTGAACATTTTAAAGGGTTTTTTTTAAAATTTTTTTTTTTTTTTTTTTTTTTTGCACCCTCAGATTCCAGATTTTCAAATAGTTGTATATCGGCCAAATATTGTCCTATCCTAACAAACCGTACATCAGTGGAAAGCGTATTTATTCAGCTTTCAGATATATTGTGTGTGTGTGTGTGTGTGTGTGTGTGTATGTATGTGTATATATATATATATATATATATATATATATCAATTACTGGTTCTACCCAGTTCTTGCCATAAAATTTGCCTAAATTAACAATACAACATTTACATTTTGCCCTTATAATAAATACATAAACATGTTATACAAATATCATTGTCAGAAGGTAATTACTAGCTTAATAGTCATAGAACAAATACATATGCAAAGCAAGTCTGACTTGCATGATTTTCTGATTTCATTCACCTTCTTCCCATTCTTTTCTGTGCTTTTTCTTGTACTCCATTGAATAAATGGGGCAAAAAGCTTCAGGAAACATATTAAGCCTGTATCAAAAACATTCTCAGAAAATATTCCCTCGTCAAAAGGTTCAAATCATATTGGAATCTTATCTAAAATGTCATAATGTCTCTTGAACATGAGAAATAAGAATATGTCTGGCTAATTTCCATGACTGTGGCAGGACTTTGCCAGAATCTCCACGCTGGCTTTATTCTCGGGGTCAGACGGAGAAGGCTGAAGATATCCTGAAGGATTTTGCTGTGAGGAACGGGAAAGGCAGAATTCCAGTGAAGCTCCGGCGGGCCGTCAGCGCCAGCGCTCCGGATGCATCCAGCCCTGGGGTTTTCCAGCTGGTCACACATCCCATACTGCGCTGGAGGACTGTGGTGCTCATGTATGTGTGGTGAGTATTTTATAGACGTCTGTAATATTTCCAAAAGCTACAATGGGGCAAATAAGTATTTGATACACTGCTGATTTTTCAAGTTTTCCCACTTACAAAGAATGGAGAGATCTGTAATTTTCATCGTAGGTACACCTCAACTGTGAGAGACAGAATCAAAAAAAAAATCCAGAAAATCACATTGTATGATTTTTAAATAATTAATTTCCATTTTATTGCATGAAATAAGTATTTGATCACCTACCAACCAGCAAGAATTCTAGCTCTCACAGACCTGTTAGTTTGTCTTTAAGAAGCCCTCCTATCCTCCACTCATTACCTGTATTAAAGTTGAGGTGTACCTACGATGAAAATTACAGATCTCTCCATTCTTTGTAAGTGGGAAAACTTGAAAAATCGGCAGTGTATCAAATACTTATTTGCCCCACTGTATATCTTTATTTCACTCTTACAGTATTATGCCAATGATCTGTGCATTTTAATGTACTCATTCTGTGTGTGTATGTGTATGATGCAGGTATGCGTGTAGCCTTGTGTATTATGGATTGACCCTCAGTGCCAGTGAAGATAAAGGTAATCGTTACCTTAGCGTTGCTATGTATGGTCTGGTGGAACTCCCTGCATACCCTCTCTGCATGTACTTCATTAACAAACCGTGGTAAATGCACTCGCACGATCACATCCACATGCTGCAGTATCAGACTCTCTCACATTATTAGCTTAGTGTGTTTGCTTGTTTTTCTTTTAGGGCAGGCCGGAGGAAGTCAATGGCCAATTTTCTTGCATTTGCAGGCGTATCCTGTCTGCTCACAATGTTCGTACCTGTATCAGGTGATCATCTTTCCAAATACATTAGGCTTTGATGCCACTTGGTTTATTTTTGGATATTTATGCAATTAATTGTTTCAGGAATGATACATTTTGGGTCCACACACACACACACAATTGGTCAAAAGTGAAATAATTAACATTTAAAAATGTTTTTGAAAGAAGTGTCTTATGCTGCATTTATTTGATCAGTAAAAACGTTAATATTATATAAATATAATTAAAATTTTAAATAACTTTTTTTATTATTCAATTGTGAAATGTAATTTATTCCTGTGATGGCAAAGCTGAATTTTCAGCAGCCATAACTCCAGTCTTCAATGTCACATGATCCTTCAGAAATCATTCTAATATGCTGATCTGGTGCTCAATTATTATATAAATCGACTCAAATTATTATTAATAATGTTTATTATTATTATTATTATTATTATTATTATTGTGGAAGCCATGATACATTTATTTAAAGATTCTTTGATGAATAAAAAAGTTTAAAAAAAAAATGTATTTGAAATAAAAATATTTTTAATAATATACATAAATGTCTTTACTGTCACTTTTGAATTTAATGCCATAACTCCAGTCTTCAATGTCACATGATCCTTCAGAAATCATTCTAATATGCTGATCTGGTGCTCAATTATTATATAAATCGACTCTTATTATTAATAATGTTTATTATTATTATTATTATTATTATTATTGTGGAAGCCATGATACATTTATTTAAAGATTCTTTGATGAATAAAAAAGTTTTAAAAAAAAAATGTATTTGAAATAAAAATATTTTTAATAATATACATAAATGTCTTTACTGTCACTTTTGAATTTAATGTCATTGCTGAATAAAAACACATTTTCTTCCTTTTTATTTTAAATCTTACCTACCCCCGACTTAGAATGGTAGTGTATCAAGGTTTCCACCAAAAATATTAAGTAGAACAACTGTTACCAACATTTATAAAAGAAAACGTAAAAAAAAATCTATTTTCAAATTTTTGACCAGTAGTGCTAATATTCTCTGTAAACATATATCATGCATTCTAATTTGGTTGTCTAAAGCCTGTTGTTTGCTTTCCTCAGGGTCCTTATTAAGTGCCACGTCACTGGCTCTAGTGGGAAAACTGATGGTCAGTGCTGCATTTAATATTGTGTACGTGTATACGTCAGAGCTCTACCCAACCGTGATCAGGTACAGCCAACGCTTTTGCTGCATGTGTGATGTCTTTTGTGCTTTAGCTCTTTTACAATTGTCATTTTAAATAAAAATGTATTATTAATATTAATAATAATTATATTATTAATAATATAAAATTATTAAAATGTGTTTAATTGTATAAAATGTGTTTAGTTCCTTACAGAATAAGATTCTGTGCTTGAGCAAACAGCGCCCTCTAGTGTATGCCATTATATAATCAACGTACAACCCAAAAGTCCCTCACTGCATGTGCTGGGTGAATTCTAATGTAAGTGTGTGTGTGTGTGTTTGTGTGTGTTAGGAATGCTGGGCTGGGTGTGTGTTCCATGTCCTGTAGAGTTGGGGGAATTCTGGCACCGTTTGTGCCGAGTATGGTAAGTAGCTGTAAGCTGTCTGACTTAAGAAATGCCATTTTCCCCCCTAAATATTTTCTTGTGTGATTAATAATTATTAATGTGTTAATATATGCATTCATAGATGTTATTAATATAATGTGTAAAAATTCTTGTAAAGTTAATTAATATTGTAAATATATTTGATCAGCGTTATTATTATTATTATTATATTGATTGATTGTGTACTGATTTATTGGTAATTGTCCAGAAATCATTGCACACCTCCATGCCATTTATGGTGTTCTGTTTGAGTGGGATTTCCGCGGGCTGCCTGGGGCTTCTTCTGCCGGAGACACTTAATAAACCTGCTGCTGAAACACTCGATGAACTGTCCAGCCCCACCTACCAGCGACTCTTACAGCCACAGGTAAACATGAGCATGACAGAATTGTAATTTCATAAGATTATTAAACTGTCTAATTGCATAACTCCCTGGAATACTTACTTCTGGTTGGTTGATCACGGCATTCTGCCGCCAAATGTTTTTGTATAGTTTCATGTCTCTTATATAACAGTCTTCTTACACTTACATTTACTGTTATGCTTTTGGCCGATGTTTTATCCAAAGTGATTTATATTGAATACATATTTCATCGAACCTGTGACTTTGACATTGGTAGCACCATGCTCTGCTGTTTGTGATGCAAGAACACATGATAAAAAATTATTGAATGCATAATTATTTATTGTAATTATTATAATAAAGGTATTGTGAATAAAATTATAATTAAAAACTGCAGTATAAATAAATTCAGCTGAAATCAATGTTTCATGTGTCCAACAAACTCTGAGAATTTATTTTTTTAAATATATATTGCTTTACAAGAATCCCAATTAGACCTTTTCTTCATAATGGATTGTTGTGTTTTTTATAGGTTCACCTTTTGGAAGAAAAGCATTTAATTGACCACAACGGGGCTGACAGTGACTAAGACAAAGACCTTGAAAACATTATATTACACCCGTTTACATACATTCCTTGACCATGGTCAGAATTTCGTGCCATACACTGACTCACTGAAAGACTAAAGGTGCCTTCCAGAAGAAATCTGTCTGCTCAAAGGATCAATTCAACAGATTTAACTGTCAGGACTAATTTAAAATAATGGAAAATGGACCAGATTTTCATTCGTTAACTTTTTTTTTTTTTTCTCATAATGTCTGACAATTATGACAACTAATTTCATGTGTTTACTGCCATTTATGAACAAATGTCTTGTTTAGATTTAACTGTCAGGACTAATTTAAAATAATGGAAAATGGACCAGATTTTCATTCGTTAACTTTTTTTTTTTTCTCTCATAATGTCTGACAATTATGACAACTAATTTCATGTGTTTACTGCCATTTATGAACAAATGTCTTGTTATTTTTTTTGTGAGCTGTGACATTGCATTCACCAGAGTGTTTATATAAGCATTCAATTAATAATCAATAATGGCTGCAAATTTCAGTGATACTGAATCTTCGTTTTGGAAATGGTTCACTCAAAAATTAAAATTCATTTATTTGCTGTTTTAAATCTTTACTGACAATATTTTTCCATCATACTCATATGCTGGTATTTTTTTCTGTGCAACACACAAGTAGTTCGGTCATTGGACACTTGATTTGAAATTCAATAAATATTATCAGTGAATAAATTAGATTTGGGATTCATACTTTTATTCATGACTTTTTTTTTTGCCTTTGGTGTTTTGCTGGGGGGGGGGGAAATCAGCATGTTGGTTTGAATCAACATGGGGGCGGTGAATAATAGCAGAATTTTAATTTTGGGGTGAACTGTTGTTTTAAGAGACCCTTTTTTACCATTATTGATTGTTGTTTTTCTCCAAAGGGAGAAGTGAAGTGTTAAACACAAATATCTCTGTACAGTGCTAAACATGCTTTTGTGTTTATCTTGAGAGTTAAGGGAAAAGCTTTGAAATAAATGCCTCATGTATATTGCGCATGATCGTTTATGTCTGTTTGTAACCAGTAGACGGCACTGTGTTGAAGGCCACCTCCCCTGAACTGAAGTCACCTTTGACCTGTTCCAGTCCTGTGGTGGTGATGTCAGCGTTGACGCAGGTGAGCAGTGCTCAGGTAAACCACAGGATTCAGGAGCTGGGAGTTTCAAAGAAGCCGGCACAAAACTTTCAACCACAAACCTGTTTTTTTTGTTTTGTTTCCGTCTCTCTTTCCTTGCTGTAATCGCAGCCTGTGGCGCTGCATGTAGCTGACGGAATAGGTTGAGAGAGAGCAGGCATTAACTATAATAACTGTTTTCATTCTGTAAGTCTTCCTCCAAGGCCTGGCGGGCGTTATATCACCCTGCACAAGGAGATAAACAGCAGGTACAGAAGGTGTGGTCTCTTGAGTGCATTATCTATACCAGGGGTGTCCAAACTCGGTCCTGGAAGGCCGGTGTCCTGCAGAGTTTAGCTCCAACTTGCCTCAACACACCTGCCTTTAAGTTTCTAGTATGCCTAGTAAGAGCTTGATTAGCTGCTTCAGGTGTGTTTAATTGGGGTTGGAACTAAACTCTTCAGGACACCGGCCCTCCAGGACCGAGTTTGGACACCCCTGATTTATACCATGTGTTCAACTTCTAATAAAACCAAATTATTTGTCTGTTATTATGTTTGCAATGCTGCAATTCATCTGCAAAATTTTAATGAACTGTTTAACAAAATAAATCATCAAAGTAAGTCTTACTTACTATATATATAAACAACAGCTTTTTTTATTTGGGTGATGTTATCAAGCCCTCTTTTTAAACACCACATTATTTATTTTTGTAATGGGAGCCTATAAGCCTGGGGTAATGTGACTTTCCTGCTTTCAGCTCATCACATTCAGAAAGCACAACAACTGTCACACACCTGTACAGAAAAGTAGTTCAGGTTCAATATCGGGTCAGTGTCATTGTCTGTGTTCATATGGGGGTGTGGGAAGAAAGAGTTCGAGCGGTGAGCCATAAACACAGGTATGAAGCCTGAGGAGGAAGCCAGATTTCTGGAAAATCATAGAACAATATGACCTGAGACTGAACTCGCAAGATCATTGCTGCAGGCCATACTGTACCGGTTCTGTCTGTATAAATAAGCAAAAGAACCTGAGAAAATAAAGGATGAAAATAACAGGAATAAGCAGCTGGTACTGGGCTTACTTATCCGAACTGAAATGTTTGTGCTTTGTTGTGTTTTAGTATATATATGTATATATATTATATTCTATTCCATTCTATTGTTCTGTCTGTAAGCAAAAATAAATAAGCAAAAGAACCGGTGAAAACAATTTTACAGTCTCTGCACTGGGTACCTATTAAGTTCCGTATCAGTTACAAAATATTATTACCTGCCTATAAGGCCCTTAATGGGTTAGCTCCTGCGTACCTAACTAGTCTTCTACCACGCTACAATCCATCACGCTCCCTAAGGTCACAAAACTGGACTTTTGGTAGTACCTAGGATAGCAAAGTCCACTAAAGGAGGTAGAGCTTTTTCATATTTGACTCTCAAACTCTGGAATAGCCTTCCTGATAACGTTCGGGGTTCAGACACACTCTCTTGTTTAAGTCTAGATTAAAGACACATCTCTTTGGCCAAGCATTCAAATAATGCATCTCATAATCTTTTACTGCAGTTATATCTAATCAATTGCACATTATTATTCTTTAGTTTGGGTTAAACAAATCAATTTTGCTTGGTTGGAACGGCAGCTACGCTAATTATGTCTCTATTTGTTTCTCTGTTTCTGCACAAGCTTCAATCTGGATCCAGAACACCTGAGAAGAGATGATGCCAACCCCTCAGAGGACCTCAGATGATGCCAACCATGAAACAACATACAGAACTACCAAATAATAATTGCTGTTAATAGTGTTCATCGTCTGTTTGATTACGTCTTTAATTGATTTTTCCGTACATTTCTGCCATATGTACATTAACTGACAGTCACCACTGATAAGCTACTACTAAATATTGTAGAAACTTAATTTGCTGTAAAGTTGCTTTGCAACGATTTGTATCGTGAAAAGCGCTATACAAATAAACTTGAATTGAATTTAATTGAAAAACAATGTCTTCAGAATAAAAGATGAAAATAACAGAAATAAACATCTCATACTGTGCTTACTTATCCAAACTCTGTGAGATGTTTTATTTTGTTTTAGAATATTAATACATATATATTGTTATAATTTATATTCATATTAATAAATAAGAAATACATTATAAAAAAATACATTTTTAAATATTTTGATATATAACCATATCTATCTGTTCTGTCTATAAATTAGTAAAAGAACCTTATGAAAATAATACCTTGAAAATAAAGGATAAAACAAACTGAAATATACATGTTCTTTTATATCGAAACATGTATTTTATTTTTAATAAGCAATCAAATATTGCCTTTTATTATTATGCTATCTTACATATTTACATGTATTTCAAGACATAACAACATACAGAAAGTTGTTATATAAATAATGTAAATATAATTAAGTGTATTGAAAAGTTAAAAATAAAACAACATTAAAAATCTTAGGATGTACTTCAAGTATATAATTACAATAATTAAGATTAGAGATTTCCAACACTAATCCCGGATGGTGGATCCCGGACTGATTGATCTCTAACCCTAATTAACACCTGAACCTGGTAATCAAGGCCTCCAAGGTCACTAGAACCTTCCACACAGGTGTGCTGGAGAGGAGACGGTTGGAGCTAAACTCCACAAGAATGTGCCTCTCCAGGAGGACTGCACATGTCTGGGTTAGATCAAAGGGATTCAATGGACAAAAAAGGTTGGGAAACCCTTTTATGTGCCCATTTAGATGATCCATAATGTGCATTTTGCTCACACAGCATTTTTTCCAGAAACGGAGTGATGATTCATATGTCGAATGCTTGAATGGAAATGAAGGAATTAATTCAGAATATTACTTAGAAAAACAAGTGTAACACAATGTAAATGCCTGAAGTTAGCCAAGCTAGTCTGAATGACATTTAAAAAGCTTCTTTATTATTATGTGACCGTATCACTACTAACCATCAGGTCTGATGACAGATTTGTGAATTGAGATGCCACTGTAATGTACTTGTAATCCTATTTGATTTTAGCTCTAAAAAGTGAATTTACCCATGAAAGTCCTCCCTGAATTTTTGTAGACACTCAGTCGAGCTGAACCTATTCATTCATAAGCATTTTTTGCTGCATCAAAAGCTTATGCAGATGTGCTGACAGTGGGTGTAGCATTATCAGTGCGTTGATTCTTCTTTATTAAAGCATGTCAATCACTCTGTTATTGAACCCTGAAAACCCACCCAACTTCTATATTTGTGTCTGATGAATGACTTTAGAAATGCAGCACTGCCATTTGCTGTGATTCACCCAAAGGCTGTGGGAAGAATTTCTGTATAACTCAAATTCAGTCAGCTCGGGTCAACAGCAAGTCCCATCACAGTTTGCTGGATGTTTTCCCTCATATTTTCCTCATGAATGAATATTCCCTTTAAGGAAAGTACAGTAGGCAATGACGTGCACCTGAGGTGAGGATGATTATGTTCCAGAGAACAACAGGAAATAAAGTGATCTATAGCCTGTCACATCTGAAGTTGCAGTAAGCTGTAGGAGTCATGTCGAGGTGATATCCTCATTCTTACGAAGGCTGAATTGTCACCAGACACCATTTCACTGTAATGAGATGCTTAGGGAGTGAGTTCAGAGACACTGCATTTTTATGGGACAATCCTGACACTTCCACTGAACTTGCCAAATATTTGAAGTTGACGCCTGATGTGGCAAAGACCATCTTGTGCTCCTACTGAAAAACTGAAATGTCTGTCTATCTGTCTGTCTTGTTGTTTTAATGTCTATTTTTTTTATAAATAAATACAGTATTATCTGTCCATCCGTCCGTCCGTCTGTTTAAATGTCTATTTTTTTTATAAATGCATACAGTATTATCTGTCTGTCTGTCTGTTTTAATGTCTATTTTTTTATAAATGCATACAGTATGATCTATCCATCTATCTATCTGTCTATTTTTTATAAATGCATACAGTATTATCTGTCTGTCTGTCTGTTTTAATGTCTATTTTTTTTATAAATGCATACAGTATGATCTATCCATCTATCTATCTGTCTATTTTTTATAAATGCATACAGTATTATCTGTCTATCTGTCTGTCTATTTTTTTTATAAATGCATACAGTATTATCTA